TGATATGATTAATCATGCGCTTACTTGATAACAGTTGTACTGCTGGAGTGGACTGTTAGTCATCCACTTTGTGTGCCGCAGACCATCTACTTCATATCTCCCCCAACTAGACTGTACGTTTTAAAGGGCAGGGGCCATGTCTTAGAATTTCTGTATCCTACACTGGCCCTTGCACATAAAGGCTCACATTTATATAAAATGTTATGTAGATAATAATCTCCATGAGGAGAAGGACTGTTTTCAGTTTTATCTTTGTGTCTCTAGCACATAACCACTATGTAGAAGGTATTTAAAAAATGATGATTCAATTGAATTATATAGAATTTAATAGAATTATACAGTAGCCATTATTTTTGCCTTCTCTGAAAGAGACAAAAATTCTATGTTACACATATTCATAATACACCCTTGTACCATGTCTGGCAAATACTTGAATGGGAAAAAAGTCACTGATTTACGCAGTTCTTACATGACTAGAAGATACCTGGGTTGTAAGGACCAGCAAATTAAAGATTTATAAAGCTCTTTCTTTAAAACAATATAGTAAGGGAAGTATTCTAAGAAGAAATATCAGGGCAGCTTGGTGGCGTAGTGGGTAGAGCACCAGCCCTGGAGTCAGGAGGAACTGAATTCAAATCTGACCTCAGATACATAACACTTACTAGCTGTTGACTCTGGGTAAGTCTTTTTTTTGTTTTGTTTTGTTTTTAGGCAATTGGGGTTAAGTGACTTGCCCAGGGTCACACAGCTAGTAAGTGTCAAGTGTTTGGTCTGAGGCCAGATTTGAACTCAGGTCCTCCTGACTTCAGGGCCGGTGCTCTATCCACTGCACCACCTAGCTGCCCCTGGGCATGTCTTTTAACTTCAATTGCTCACCAAAAATAATAATAATAATAATATACCTATTTTATAGGTAAGGAAACTGAGGCTCAGAAAGGTTAAGTGAATTGCCCATTGTCACATATATAGAAATTGGTAGAATTAGTACTCAAACCCAAATCTGATTTATAATCCATAAATTTATAATTTATAATCCTTCTATGCTTCTACCCACTACGCCTATCACAGGTGCTCAACAAGATATGACAAAACAAAAAATGGTTGAGGGGAGTTAGTAGCAGCCTTCAAATGCAAAAATGCAGAGCATGATGACCTGTTGTAATCTCTCTCCACTAGGCATTTAGGAAACCTAGGGGCAAGTAGGTGGTACAGTGGGTCTGAAGTCAGGAAACTCTGAGTTCAAATCCAGCCTCAGACCCTTACTTCCTGAATTTAAGCAAATTACTTCACCTTTATTTGCCTCAGTTTCCTCAACTGTACAATGGGAATAATAATAGCACCTTGCTCCCATGCTTGTTAGAAGAATCAAATGAGATTTTTGTAAATTGTAAATGAGAATTTGTAAATTTGAAAATGAGAAATTGTAAAGTATTTAGCACAGTGCCTACCACATAGTATGGACTATATAAGTGTTTTCATTGTTCAGTCATTTTTCGGTTGTGTCTGACTCCTTGTGACCCCATTTGGGGTTTTCTTAGCGAAGATACTAGAGTAATTTGCCATTTTCTTCTCCAGCACATGAGGAAACTGAGGCAAACAGGGTTAAGTGACTTGCCCAAGGTCACACAACTAGTAAGTGTCTGAGGCCAGATTTCAACTCAGTAAGAGAAGTCTTCCTGACTCCAGGCCCAGCACTCTATCCACTCTTCCAACTAGCTACCCTATATAAGTGTTAGCTAGCATCATAAATAATAATAAGAATAATTATCCCTGAACATTTTTCTTGGAGTTCAAACTCTAAGAAAATTACTAAAATAGCTCAAAGGCTTGGGTTTTAAGCCTCTTTTGAAAAAATTCAATTCAAAACATTTATTAAGCATCTACCATGTGCATTGTACTTTAGTAAAAAAAAAAAGTCTAGTAATGGTGTCGAACTCAAATACAAACAGGGCTATTAATTTGTTTGTAAGGATCCTTACAGGCAGCATATTGACTTAGCTTTAAAATGCAATTTTGTCTTTTATTGTATTTTTATTTATTTTGTGGCATGTTTCCCATTTACATTTTAATCTGATTCCTCAGGCTACAGCAGGCCTTGTGTTTGACACTTCTGGTCTAGCCCAGCACATTGGTCTCAGTACTTCCAAAGATCATTTTAATTCCTAAAGTTCCTTCCTGGGAAAGAGAGAATAGTAGGACACAGTATACCTCAACTTTGAATTTCTTGACCACCTAATGACAGGAATTTGAAAATAACACAAAAATCCACTGTCTTCTTCATTCCCAAGAAAGGGTATGGGGATCTGGGGATTAGAAGAAACCCAAGGTAGATTAGCAAAGCTAAACCCAAAATCAGACAGTTCTCTAGGCCAAATTTAGCACTGGAAACATTTTAATCATGGGCAAATTACAGGAATGGTTAAGCAACCCAAAAGTCCCGCAGATACAGCACTCTCATGCTAGAACAGAATACTCATGTAAGTTCACATGTATCCAGTTGTTATGTAATCAAGGTAATTGAGATGGCACCCAAAAGTTCACAAAATGCTTCCTCACACTTTATGAGATAAGTAGTGGAAAAATTATTATCCCCATTTGACAGATGTGAAAATTGAGGCTTAATGAGGTAAAGTGAAGTATCCAAGGTTCCACAACTAGCAATTTACAGAGCGAGGATTCAAATCTAGGTCTTCTGATTTGAAACTCAGTCCTCTTTTCACTATACCAATCTGCAAGAAAAAAATGTTTTTCAAGGGTTTTCTTTTTTAAAAAATAATTTTTAACAAAAAAAATTTCCCAAACCTTAGACTGTTTATCCTTCCTTCCAATTTTTGATCCTCAATAAGTCAACAATCTTTTTAAGTTTTAACTTCATTTTGGTAAATAAATGCAAAATGAGCAATTTGGATCCAAATACAATGCCTACCCACCCAAAGACAGAGCTAGGATGCTCAGCCAGAGTAGTAATCCAAAGGCCAACTGGATTTAGTCAGACAACCTGGATTTGAATCCCAGCTGTGCTACTTACTTGACCTTGGGAAAATCATTTACCTTCTCTGTCCCTTAGTGTCCTCTGTAAAATGAGCTCCCACACTATACGACCTCTAAGTTCCTTTACAGCTCTGTAAGCTATGATTTTATTTTTTCTGTAAGTGAAAAAGAAGGGACTAGCTAGGATTAACACCTGAAGTGCAGTGCAGGCGTAACTGGGACTATCATTCCCCTTGAGAAATCTTATTCCACAGAAATCTCATCTATGTTGAAACAGATGAAAGTTCCTAATTAAATTTGGTAGTTTATGATCACTAAACACATTGAGTAGTTTAAGCCAAAGATCCTCTAGGAAAAGACATCGAAGGATTGAATTGAGTCTAACTGGTACCAAGACTCAAGCCAGGAACTGGCAAAAGGAGTTCAGAAAACTTGGGTGTCAAACTGGCTTTAAAAGATGCCATGAGAGCCTGCCTTCTAGTTTGGGAAGTGCCAATTAGAGTAGAAACATGTCTTTCTTTCTCTTTCTCTTTTCTTCTCTTCTCTTTTCTCTTCTCTCTCTCTCTCTCTCTCTCTCTCTCTCTCTCTCTCTCTCTCTCT